AGATCATGAGATCAGCAGTCACACACACAGCTTTGTGGAAACACGGCTGGTTTGTTCTTCACCCAGCAGAAGGACACACACTCATCTCCTGTGCAGACATGCGGCCCTCCACGCTGCACTTGATGGTTGGGTGCCAGAACCCCCTACCTCAACTTCAGTTCACTCTTTCTCTCTGGGTTCCTGCTTTATCCCAGGAGCCACAGGTCACAGACCCCAAGCCATGGACTGCTCATTTTTTAAAAAATTTTTTGGAGGATTATTGCTTTACAGTGTTGTGTGAGTTTCTGCTGTACAACAAAATGAATCTTCTATATGCATATATATGTCCCCTCTCTCTTGGACTTCCCTCCATTCCTCCTATCCCACCCCTCTAGGTCATCCAGAGCACTGAGCTGAGCTCCCTGCGCTATACGGCAGCTTCCCACTAGCTATCTAATTTACACTTGGTAGTGTATATATCTCAATGCTACTCTCAACTCATCCCACCCTCCCCTTTGGCCTCTGTGTCCACAAGTCCATTTTCTATATCTGGGTCTCTATTCTTGCCCTGGAACTAGGTTCATCTGTACCATTTTTCTAGATTCCATATGTATGTTGGTTGCTCAGTCATGTCTGACTCTTTGTAATACCATGGACTGCCAGGCTCTTCTGTCCAGGGGATTCTCCAGGCAAGAATATTGGAGTGGGTAACCAGTCCCTTCTCCAGAGGATCTTCCTGACCCAGGGATCAAGCCCAGGTCTCCTGCATTGCAGGCAGATTCTTTACATCAGCACCACCAGGGAAGACCTAGATTCTATATGCATGAGTTAGTATATTTGCTTTTCTCTTTCTGACTTCACTCTATGTGACAGACCCTAGGTCCATCTATGACCCTACAAATGACCCAATTTCTTTCCTTTTTATGACTGAGTAGTATTCCATTGTATATATGTACCACATCTTCTTTATCCACCCATCTGTTGGATACTCAGGTTGTTTCCAGGTCCCGGCTGTTGTAAATAGCGCTGCAAGGAACATTGGGATTGGGATCCACCTGTCCTTTTAATTATAGTTTTCTCAGGATATATGCCCAGTAGTGGGATTGTTGGGTCATACTGCAGTTCTAATTTTAGTTTTTTAAGGAAACTTCATACTGTTCTTCACAGTGGTCATTTCAATTTACATTCTTACCGACAGTGTAAGAGCGAGGAGTGCTCCGTCACCTTTACCCATGCTTACACATCCCACCAAAGCCTGCCCATGTCTGTGTTCCTGACCCCCAGTCCCTATGGTTAACAAAGTGGCCAGCCTCGCCAGACTTCTGACATTTTCCAAGGTCACCCTTACAGCTAGAGGAGAAGCCCAGCCTACCCTGCCTCATCAGACTGTCCTGCAGGCCACTCTGGCAGTTCTGTGGGCACCCCTTCCTGGAATAAGAGATGTCTCTGTATCAAAATGCCTATCACCAATGTAACTGACCTCCAGCCACACAGGTCAGCATTCAGGCTGCCCCAACACATTCACACCCACCGCCATGCTCCCCTATTCTCTGCTGCCCCGCACCTCCTCCCTGACGACACAGATGGGAGGACCCTGCCCGTCTCTACCCAGCACACCTCCTGAGGCTGCAGCCCCAGCTACCTTCGAGGTGGGAAACCCTGGTGAGGACCAGTTCCTGCCCTTCAAAGACAGTCACATGGCTCAGAAGCGTGGGCCGTGGCGGCCCACTCTCCCCTTGGTGGAGTTCCCCTCTATTCTACTTCGCTGAGAAAGCACTTCCGCTCTCTTACTGCACTGCAAAGGCAACCCTTCTTCATTTAGTGGGCGCCATGACTTTTCCAGAGGCTCCTGGGCTTCCCAGGTGGTGCAGGGATAAACAATCTGCCTGCAACACGGAAGACCTGGGTTCGATCCCTGGGTTGGGAAGATCCCCTGGAGAAGGGAACGGCAGCTGGCTCTGGTATTCTTGCCTGGAAAATTCCATGGACAGAGGAGCCTGGTGGACTATAGTCCACGGAGTTGCAAAGAGTCAGACACAACTGAGCACACATACGCACACACCTGAGTCAGAGCACAGAGCGATGGGGAGGGGGCAGAAGACACCACCCCTAAACGTGCCACCATGGCAGGTGGAGTATTTTTAACTGAAGGAATCAAGATCCAGCAGCCTCAGGAAAAGCTTTTACCTCCTCTTAATTGCAAAAAGGAATTTAGATACCAGAGAGACACTACCAGAGAGATATATTTATTTGAAAGAGCAATCTATGCCGTAGGGCTAACATCTGATCCCCAAGCACCTGCTCATCTCATCTTCCCATGAGTCACCCCTGCTCTGCTTGAAGTCCCAGATCCCCATTCCTTTCCTTAGGTCAGGGTGGCTTATAAGCGTCAACTGCCTGATTGCCTTTGTGTCTTTCCTTTATGGGGTTTCTAAATGTATTTTTCTCTTGTTAATCTGTCTTATGGCAATTTAATTATTGGACCAACCAAAGAACCTAGAAAGGTATAAGGAAAAATTTCCTGCCCCCTACAGTTATAACTGGGCCTCAAGGCAACAGGGTCTCAGAAATACTGAACACAAATATTCACTGTTAACATCGTTCTGGATTTCATGCCAGATTCCTGCTGGTCCAGCCCTAAGGCCACAGTGGCTGTGGGCTGATGCTCACTGACCATTGCCTTGACCACTCCTGGGAGAGTCCTCCTCTGGATGTGTGCCAGGGGCCCAGAGGCCACCTAGTATTTCTGCCATTATCTCTTTAGGTCATTGGTCACTGGGTCACCTTCAGGCACACAGGGTACAGGTTAGAGAACAGCCTTCCCCTCCACTCCCAGGGCCATTCTCCAGCCTGGATCTGCATGGTCCTGGACAAAAGGATCTGGCAGCCCAGTCAATACCCAACTGACCACATACTCTCAGTCTGGGGAGAAACAGAACCAACCATTAGGTTAACACAGTAGAGGAGGCTCAAAAATTGCTTGTATATGTTGAGATAATTTGGATATATTGGGTTAAATAAAAAGTATTATTTTTATAAGTCTGTATGCTCAAAACCCAGAGGAACACACTGCATGAGGTCATTTGTGAAAAGTTCAAGAGCAGGCAAGGCCTCAGTCCACAGAGACAGGGGTGTACATCATCCAAGCCCAGGGGTGAGCAAGAGATTGGCCACAGAGAGGCAGGAGGCAACGTTCAGGCTAATCGAAGTGTTCTAGAGCTTGGGGGGCGGTAATACCAATGTATGCTTTTGCTAAAGTTCCTGTCTGGACACATAATATAAGGCATTTATTGTGTGTGCGTCATACCTCATTCAAGTTGATTTTTAAGAATCAAGCAAGTTTTCCAAGCAGTGGACAGAGGACCAGAGCCACTGATGTGCCTCTCTGCGGAGAGGTGTGAAAGCAGCCCCCAGGCTTTTATCCATTCCCTCAGGGGCTGTCCTTCCCACACCCACGAGGTAGAGGTCCCCCCACCCATGGTTTAGGGTGCACCCAGCTGTCAGGGTGAGATTCTGAGTCATATCCCTTCCTTGCTTGAACATTAGCAGTCTCTTGTCTCTAGAGCAGGATGGCCCAGTCTCACCCCAGGGCCTTTGCACTGGCTCTTCCTCTGCCTGAAGTGCTCTTCCTCTGTGTCAGCAGGACTTCTTGCCCTTTAGGTAGGTTTCAGCCCAAATGTCTGTCCTCTCAGAGGCCTCCCTGACCAGTGTCCAGAGGTACCCATGTCTATTTCACCCTTCACTTCCAACAGACCACCCCATCACCCCTTGATCTTAATCACTGATCACTGACCCCACCCCACCCCTCCCAAGCTGGGCCAGGCAAGACCACATTTCCTCTGGAAGACAGGGCCTACTGGCCTTGACACCTGCTCCAAGGGTAAAATGTACACACACAGAAGAGTGTAAAAGTTGTCATTCATAACTGCTTGTATATGTTGAAATAACATTTTGGATATACTGAGTTAAATCAAAAGCATTGTTATTATACATTTTTTTTCTTTTTACATTTAAAAAATTTGTTCATTTATTTTAATTGGAGGCTAACTACTTTACAATATTGTGGTGGTTTTTGCCATACACTGACATGAATCAGCCATGGGTGTACATGTGTCCCCCAGCCTGAACACCCCTCCCACCTCCCTCCCCATCCCATCTCTTAGGGTTGTCCCAGTGCACCGGCTTTGAGTGACCTGTTTCATGCATCAGACTTGGACTGGCGATCTATTTCACATATGGTAATGTACGTGCTTCAGTGCTATTCTCTGAAATCATCCCACCCTCTCCTCCTCCTACGAGTCCAAAATTCTGTTTTTTATATCTGTGTCTCTTTTGCTGTCTCACATATAGGGTCATCATTACATCTTACACTTTTTAATGTGTCTTCTACAAAATGTAGTTATACACAGGTTCTCATTACCTCTCGGTCAAGCGGAGGCTCTCTACAAGCCCAAGACACCTTGGTCAGGGAGAAGCCCCAGCAAGGTGTGCGGTTGAATAAGTAAACGAGTTGTGAGAAAGAGAACCCGATGAGCTTCTGTGGCGAAGAACTTCCCCGGGACAGGGCGCATCCGAGGTCTTCCTCCCTCTGCCTCGGAAACCTCAGCAGTGCTCTCCGTGGACTCCTAGACGCGGAGCAGGCGCACGGACGGCCAGGAGGCCGAGACGCCCTCTCAGACCAGGAGACAGAGCTCGGTGCACAGGTTTCGCCGGCCCGGAGCGGGGACACCCTCTGAAAGAACGCGGTGAGTGCGCCGGAGCACAAGATCTGGACCGGGACACAAGATCTGGACCGGGACACAAGATCTGGACCGGGACACAAGATCTGGACCGGGACAGGCTGGGGGCGGATGCGGACCACGGGAGGAGGGCTCGGCTGGGGCGGAGCGCTGGGCCGGGAAAGAGCGCTGGGCTGGGAAGGAGCCGGCAGGGTAGCGCGGATTGAGAGTCCGGGAGGGCTGTGGCTAGGAAGGAGGACGTGGGCCTGGCAACTGGGCGGAAGAGGCGGGGCCAAGTGGGAGGGGCGGGCGCGATCCACCAAGGCCCGGCCATAAAGGTGCCGCGGGCAGCGGTGCGGTGCTCGGATCCGGGGATCGCCACTTGACTGCAGTCTGTTCGCATCCGAGAGACCATGGTGGGCTCCCCGCGCTCCCCGCTGCTCCTGCTGGCCGCCCTGATCGTCGCCCTGGCCCTGGCTGTGAGCCCCGCGGCCGCGCAGGGCCCTAGAAAGGGTCGCCTGCTGGGCGGCCTGATGGAGGCGGACGTCAACGAGGAGGGCGTTCAGGAGGCACTGTCCTTTGCGGTCAGCGAGTTCAACAAGCGGAGCAACGACGCTTACCAGAGCCGCGCGATGCGCGTGGTGCGCGCACGCAAGCAGGTGCGTCCGGCGGGGCAGGGTGGGGAGACCAGGGGCCCCGAGTCAGACCGCAGGGTAGGGGCGCGGGGACTCTGCCGCCCAGAACACCAGAGCCCGGCCCCCGGGAGGGCGAGGCCTGCGCGCGGTCCCCAGCCCCGCCCGGGGGCCCCCGAGCTCGCGCGGGAGGGCAGCCCCCAGCCCCCAGAGGCCCCGGGAATCGTCAAGGATGCAATTGCGCTTCTCACCCGGGCGCGGCCCCGGCCTTTCCCGGCGCCTGCAGCCCTTCGCGGGACTGGCCAGCTTGCTAGGTAGGCGCAGGGGTCACTGGGTCCCGAGGCTCATCGTGAGCTGTCAACTAAATGACCACAGACGAAGGAAAACACACCTGACTGCCCTCCTGGCTGCCCACTGAGTGATTCTTTAAGCACCTTTTCCTTTTAGCTTTTTATTTTGACACAATTTCAGACTTACAGAGCAGTTTCAGAAACAGTACCTAGCATAGAATCACTGTAGATTCTTCACCCAGCCGCCTTAACTGTTGAAAAGTTGCGGTATTTGCTTGATCCACTTCTTCCCCACGTTCCTGTGTGTAGGGATGTACATATATGCATTTGTTTTCTGAAGTTTTTGAAGGTGAACACTTCTGTGTATATTTCGTAAAAACAGGCATTTTCTTTCCATAACCACAATACAATTTTTAAAATCAGGTATCAACCCTGACGCTTTGATACACAGGTCTTATTCAGATGTCACTGCCTGTCCCACTGTGTCCATTACAGCCAACGATGTTCCCGGGCCCCCCACCTCAGCCACTGGTCTCCTTTACTCTGGGGCAGCCGCCCGTCTGTCTCATGACCTTGGCATTGCTTCTGAAGTGTCTGGCCAGCCATGGCTCAAACAGTCACCGGGTCTGGGTTTGGCCTGATGTTTCCTCGAACTGAGCCTTGAGTCACACAGAAGAGGCGAGTTCCTCTGAGCTTCCTCTCCGCAGGTGCCACTGAACACACCTGGCCTCCCTGTGGTACTCTCGTCATCGCGCAGTAACCTGGCGGTCAGACACGCCAAACACCCTCCTTGCAGGGGGCATGGTTGCTTTCCAGAGAAGCCGGAGGTTATCAGCAAACAGATGAGTTCATGAGTGGGCCCTGTGGTCTCAGGTGTGTCCCACGGCAGGGGGCCTGGCCTAAGAAAACAAGCTCGTGGACTGTGGCTCATCCACACATCATGTCCATAGGAGCAGCCTCTGGGCTGTGATGTCACACCCCCACCCTGAGATGGGTACACAGTTGCTGACAGCCTGACCTCTGCCTGGGGTTCTGGCCAGAGAGGAGCCTATTGTCAGAGTTGGGAAGAGGGCAGGAGGGAGAATTAGGAAGGGCTACAGGGCTTTGCACTGGTGCTTGAAAGAAGGCTAGAGTTGAGACCATCTGGCCTACATCCCCTTGGAGAGTGTGATGCAGTCACACAAGCAGCGGAAGTGTGGTCCTGCCTGCCGGCTTCAGGGCTTCCTGCTACCTTCTCCTGAAACCACAGGAGATGGGTCAGGGCCACAGCCATCTCTCCTCCCATGGCAGTGGGCTGGTGCTGTTCCCTTTGAATGGGGCTGCTCTCCCCACTTGTCAGGTCCCCTCCAGCCTGCTCCTCTCTAGGGTGATACTAGCTCCTTGGCCATATGGGAAAGTGACAGCAGGAAGGGATCATGGTTCCACCAGGTGGGACTCGAAGCCAGGTCCCTGCCCCTCATGCTTCTGCAAGTTCTAATCAGGCACGTCTCGAGTGCCCATGTGAGGTTGGAGTTAACATCTCTCCTGTAACCTCAAGTGTAAAAGATACAGAGGATGTGACACGCTGTCAGAAGTCACACTTAAGAGGAAGGCGTGCCAGGCAGTCTTCTATTGGTCTGAACATCCATGAATGTGAAGCTCTTGGTTCTCCCTCTTTGAGAGGGAGTGAATAAACCTGGACTATATACAAGGAATGGGATGCCATGGGCTCCACACTGGGGACTGAAGTTCGGCTAAAGTGGAATCACCAGGCAGCAGCCTTTCCGTGGGTGCGGTGTGGGCTATGGCCGCACCTTGTGCTCAGTCCCCGCCCTGGCCCAGGGCGCTGGCTGATTGCTTGTCCGCACCCTGGCTAGCTCCTCAAAGCTGTGCCTTTTGTTCCTGGACCTGGTTAGCATGTTGGTCTGTGGATTCCCCTTTCTGGGTCCCTGTGGGAGACGCCTGGTTGGAGCAGCTGGTAAAGAAGTTCCAGGGAGGGCCTGGGATACAGGGGCTGTCGAGAGGCCACTGTGCTTCCAGGGTGCAGCCCTGGCAACTTGTGACCATGGACTTGGGGTGTGGTGGGAGGAAGGTAACCACGTGTGTGTGTTTGTGTGTGTGTGCATGTTTGCGGTCACAGGGTGTGCTAAGTGTGTCTGCTCTCCCCATGTCCAGGTCGTGTCGGGAATGAACTACTTCTTGGACGTGGAGCTTGGCCGGACTACATGTACCAAGTCCCAGGCCAACTTAGACAACTGTCCCTTCCATGACCAGCCGCACCTGAAGAGGGTATGTGCCTGCTGGGGGCAGGGATGGGGGTGCCCTTGGGGATATGTCACAGCTGTGGCTGGGGGTGTGATGGGGAAGGATGCATGTGCGCACATGATGGCTGTGTGTCTATAGGGGGTTTCCACTGGGGAATCAGGGCACCATGTGCTTTGGGGGTTGTTGCCTGCCGGATGGAGGACACAGCTGCGGGTGTTTGCTAGGGAGCAAGAAAGGGCCCTTTAATCCCATCCATGTCCCCCACCGCCACCCCAGACAGATTAGAAGGCTTTAGAGGCTTGTAAGGGTCTCCCAGGTGGCACCAGTGGAAAAGAACCCACCTGCCAATGCAGAAGATATAAGAGACGGGGGTTTGGTCCATGGGTCGGAAGATGCCCTGGAGGAGAACATGGCAGCCTACTCCAATATTCTTGCCCGGAGAATCCCAGGACAGGAGAGCCTGGCGGGCTACAATCCATAGGGTCGCAACGAGTTGGACACAACTGAAGTGACTTAACACGTACTCACACAGAGACCTGAACCGTGCTGAAACCTGAGATGCTGCCCACTCACCAAAACCCAGGCACTACCAGGGGCTTGACTGGTTCTCAGGGGTCTTGGCCTCAAGGAGGGCTGCACTCTTTGGTTACCCTTCCCAGGCCCCACCTCTGCGGGGGTTTCCTGGACCTGTATCCCAGCCCCTGGGTCCTCCCTCTGGACTTGTCTCAGTACCAGCGCTCTGGGGGAGAGGGGCTGGGGGGGTGCATCTCAGTCTTTAACTGTAACCCTAACCCACTGTTCCCCTCTTTTCTTTCATAGGAAAAGCTGTGCTCCTTCCAGGTTTATGTCGTCCCATGGATGAACACCATCAACCTGGTGAAGTTTAGCTGCCAGGATTAATAGGGGACTGGGTGTCAGGCAGGCCACTGACCGCCTCTCACTCACACCCCTGCAGAGTGCCCACACCTGCGGTGGGTGACTGCCTACTGAAACCGTGCCCGCCCCATGCTGCCCCCGCAGACACAGGCTCCTTGGGCATTGTCTGATCTGCCAGGGGGCTCTAATTCGTGTCTTTCTTCTAATTGCTTTCCAAGTGCACGGTGCTCTGCTATTTTACTCAATAAAAAAGTAACAGCAGCTACTCATTGAGTTGCTCACTGTCTCAGAAGATTGAGAAAGAAGCAAGGGTCGACGCTATTACTTTCCCCCTCTCACTGGCTCTGAGGGCAGGCAGGGGATGGGAAGCGGGCATGGCTGGGAGCTGGACCTTCAGCTTTGGTGACTCCTGATGGTCAGACAGGGGAGAGCAGGGGACCTGAGCTGCTGACCCCAGAGACTTGGGTGCTGTGTTTGCAAAATGTCAGACCATGCGCTGGCGCTGGACAGGAGGGCCGGGGAGTGTGATGGAGCCCGAGGTGTGGGCCCCCTCTGAGGAGCTGCGCATGTGCTGAGCTGATCAGATGGCTGGGATGACTCACTGGTCATGTTCCCTGGAAGCAAAATAAGAAATGGCTTATGTCATCCTCTTTCCACAAACAACTCTGGGCACCTAGCAAAAGACAAAGACTAAAAATATGTGTAACTGATGGAAATGGGGCAGGGGGAGTACCCATCAGAATCCAGGTCAGTCAAGGTCAGAATTGGGAGTGAACTAGGAGAGGTTCCTGGATACGTTTCAGGAGCTGTGAAATCTATAGGGATTTTACTCATTCACACCCCTCCCGCCCTTCTCTGGGCTCCCAGGTGAAACGAGTCTTAGCACAGCTTGCCACAGAAGGCGTGTAGAACTTAAGACACACAGTGGACTTTCTTCTTTTCCTAAGGAGTGTTTAATCGATAGGAGATGTCACCTGTCAGTGTCACCATCACTGGGTGGCAGAGTGGATATTTAGTGCCCCCAGCTGGGAATGATCCAGTCCTGCTCCCCGCCCTCATGTTGACCGTTCACCCCAAGGTTGACGCTTCTTCACAGGCTGCCCTTGCAGAGGCTGTTCCCAGATGCCCGCCACACTCAGGGCAGCATTGACCAGCCCTCCTGTTGTGCCATGCTGTCCCCAGAAGGCAGAGTGACAAACAGGACTCGCAGGTGGCTCTAAGGCCAGCACCCTAGGTGCCATGGTGCACCTACAGAACTAGAACTGGGATGCCAGGCAGAGGGTTCCCTCCCACCTGCTGCTTCCTGACTCATAGGCCCCAAGGGCCTCCCCTGTCTCTATCTTCATGTAGTGCATAACACAGCTTTCTCACTCCAGATGGGACCTAACAAAAGGGCTTTGGAAATCGAGGAGTGAAAGGTTGTCCACAGGCCTTGCACTGGCCAGATTTTTACCTGGGGCTGGCCCCTACAGGGAGTCAAGGGACTTGTGGACATGGAAGGGAAGGCTGGGGCAGCCTCCCTGCAGAGACTCTCCTGGGTGGAAAATCTTGACTTTCCACAAGTCAGCCAGCATCCAGGCTGACTTCCCATAAAGTTATCCCTTTGTGATGCTTCCAATGCCCTGTTCTTGTGGAAGTCAGGGCGGTTGGGTCGGGGTGTGCTTTGCTTGGCTCACCTGTTTTCACCCAGTCCCCTGTTATGCAACCCACACCTCAGGATTCAAGTTAGCACCACTCCAAGTCCCCAGGGAGCAAGCGGGACTGTCGGTGGGATGACCGAGAAGGCTTGCTGATCAGGAGGCCACCCATACCAGTGTGTGTGGGGAGGAAATGCAGCTCCTGCAACATTCATCTGCATGGCTGTACTTTTAGGCTTATTTATTTTAAACATAATTAAAAGTGTGGCTAAAAAGCAGGATTCAACTGAGTGAATTTGAAGGTCTTGATTTCACCCAAGGGCTCATGAATGTGGTAGCATCTCATGGAGAGACCTAAGGGCATGCAGAGGAGTCCTAGAACACAGAAGCTTCTATAGAGAGGAGAATGGGCAAGGAACTCAGCAAAAAATAGTGTGTGTGTGTGTGTGGGGGGGGGCAGTATTTTGGGCCCAGATGCCAGGAAAGGGAGCAGGGAGGACATAGGTTTTACCGTGTGGGTTGCCTCTTCCTCTGGACCTCCCACGAAACAGATGACCTCATGGTACTGAGCAGAAAATCCCATGTTGTTGATTAAAGTGACATTTCTGAGGAAGGTGAGACTACAATTACGTGAGATGTTAAATCTAAATTTTGCATCCTGGGGTTTAGCACACGTGACGCCATTTGGGGACTGTGGGTTTTCTCTTTGTGTATAATTTAAGTGAAAGTCTTCATATAAATAGATTTAGCCCAGTGCCTGGCTCTGGACGAATGCTCACTGACCTGTCTATATTTTGCAGTCGTTTGACATGCTGACACTCTTTGCGTTGAGAGGTGGGATCTGGAAGCCATCTCTTGACTCTGGATGGGCTTGTCATTCCTTCCACCAAAAACTGCAGAGGAAGTGGCCCTGTGACCTCTGGGCTGCAGAGAAAGCTTTCTTCCCTGAGTTCCCTTAGACACTTGCCCTGGGGGGAGCCATGAGTAGGTTCTCAGAGGGGCTTGCAGCCAAAGCTGACCTCACCTGCTGCCAGGTACCTGGGTGACCATGGATGTCCAGCCCGTCTGGACTCACCAGGGACTGCAGCTCTGACTGGCACCTGACTGCAGTCCCACAAGAGCCCCAAGCAAGAGAAAATGGCTGGACTGCACCTCCCAGTGTTTGAGGGATTTGTCACATGCAGTGGGTCTGGGGCTGGTGCCTGTGGGCACTGGCACAGAAGGGGTGATGCCCAGGGAAGCTGGGTGAATGTTCTACTGGCCCTGTGACCTCCCAGCTCCCTGCTGTGCTGAGCTGAAGGTGTTCAGGGTGGTGGGGAGGGACCAGGTGTCAGGGAGTGTTTGATGGGAGGATGCCTACGTGCTGTCTCTCATGAGCCCTTCGTCCCTCTTCAAGCAGAACAGCACGCTGCTCCCAGGGACTGAGGTCATTGTGTGAGGCAGGCTTGGGTCTCCTTTAGTAAACATTCTCTTTAGGACAAAACTTCTTAGTCTCGTTCCCCTTTCTTGAGATATGGATTGTCTCCTGACCTTGTGACTAACATTACCCCTTGTTCCCTTGGTAACGGTTGTATCATTCCCGAAAGAAGTTTCTTGTACCACAGCCTATATATACTCATAGAAAAATCATTAAAGCACCTTTGCTCCAACAGAGCTTAGGTCCCTGGGTCTTTTTTGTCTCTCTCTCCCTTTCTCTCTTTTACTTTCTTATCGTCGACTCTGTACCACCAGGTTCCGGTCCATTAAAGGACCCCAACAACCAGGGAGCTCCTTCCTTGTGGGGTCCCGGGAATCCTGTGTGTTCATGTCTGTAAACACTTAGAACAGCACACAATACATGAAGCCACTGAAGTTTGTCACATAAGCATCTCACGTCTCCAGTTAGAATGTCAACAGGTTTTAGTTTTAGATGGTGTCTTCAAAGAGTCTAACATAATTTTTTCAAATGAGGTGATTAGGGGTTTTTTTTTGTTTTTCCCGTGGATCTTCCAAGAGCTGCTTCAAAAGACAAAGCTTATCGTTCCCACAGCATCAGGGGTTGCTTTCTGCATGTCAGTGATGAATCTAGGTGGGTTCATTTTTCTGTGCCAGCTACTCCATTTGAAATATAATGTTTTCATGTCTGTTAGGTAAGAGCCATCCTCTCTATTCTTTCCTAAATTTTATTTTTAAATATGTTATATTTATTCTTCTGGATGAAATTCCTTTTCTTGTCCAAACAGATATTCTAATCCTCTCTCGTGGCTCCAGGCAGCAGCTGACACTCCCTGTTAGCACTCAACACAATGGTGAACACTGACAGACTCCAACTGTTCTGGACCCACACAACCACTCTGTTTCACTTCCAGTAAAGTATTCAATAAATTACATGAGAAAGTCAATACTTTCTTATAAAGCAGGCCCTTTGCGTTAGATGATTTTGCCCAACGGCAGGATATTGTAAGTGTTCTGAACACACTTGAGGTGGTTTCCCTAGTGGCTCAGATGGTAAAGAATCTGCCTGCAGTGCGGGAGACCCGGGTTTGATCCCAGGGTGGAGAAGATCCCCTGGAGAAGGGAATGGTAATCTGCTCCAATATTCTTGCTTGGAGAATTCCATGGACAGAGTAGCCTGGTGGGCTGTAGTCCATGGAGTCGCAAACAGCTGGACACGACTGAGCGAATCACTGTCACTTTCTTTTCAGGCTGAGTTTCAGTGTTTGGTAGGTTAGGTGTATTAGATGCATGTTTGACTTGTGACATTTCCAGCTTATAATGGGTTTACCAGGCTGTAAGCACACTGTAAGTTGAGAAGATCAGTATCTCCTTCCTGTGGATCATTTCTTGATTTATTTGACTTTAGCTGGTTCATGGGGACCCCCACTCAGGAGCATTCAAGCCATGGACATTGTCTTCTTGTTAAAAATTGTTGTCTTCATAATACACGCATTCTCTCAAAAGCTTTATATGCCTGTGGACAGCCATTGACTAGGCAGTGGTTGGTCTCTCATGGCCTAGGATGATGAAAGAGACCAGAGGACATAGCCAGCTCCTAGAATTTGAACTTGATGTTTTCTCCTGTGAACAGCACACTGGGACCCAAAGATGCAATGATAACTGACTCAGACTAAGGCCAGTGGTTTTCATCAAACCACTAGAGTGGCCAAGAGGATGACCAAAAGGGTGGACTGTGGAAATAAATGTCTAGGCCCAAGATGGGACTGCTCTGTTGAAGGTGCTGCAGACTGATCTTTCACATTCTCATAAATACTTCCTTGGACCAAGAATGCAATATCCAATCAGCCCAACCCTAAGCACTAAACCACCTCTGGCTCCATGCTTATTTCCTTGTTCCTTGATCTTCCTACATAAAGTTAGATATGCAAGCCCAATCAGTTTTGCCCTGTCTCTACATTGCTGCTTCTAATGCTCCAGAAACTCGCTCTTGACCAAAATCCCTTGAGAGGCTGTACCACTGTAACCCCCAACCCAAGGATAGCTTCCCCTTGAATAAAGGGTATAAACTTGCTCTTAAATTGTTTTGATTTTGTCATTTGACAATCCTCTCAAGGAAGAGGGAAAACATCTGGAAATCATATATCTGATGTGGAACATGTAGCCAGAATTTATAAAGAACTCTTACAACAAG